ACCTCCAGGTAAAGTGGGCAGTAACCATGTATCAGAAAGGAGTATTTCTTGACTCTCCTGTCTGAGCCATAGGTTTATGTATTTTCGTTGTACAATATTGATCTACGGTGGCACGTGGTGGGTTTGTGAAGACGTTATGGTTTAGGTGATTTTTGTCGATTTTGTGAGAGCTCTTCGATGCAAGTTTTCCCGGGTACGACAGGTCCAGTTGGCAAGGATTTACTCTCGATGCCCTTGGTCATGCGCTGTTTAACAAGGCCAACTGACACGGTTGTATATTCTGTTTGACTGCACAGCTTTTGCCCTAGTCCGCTCGAGTCATGGCCTCTGTGGGCACAATTTGGACTGCCTCTGTGCAAGCTTTATTGACAAATGTGGACATGGGTGTCTTTTAGATACATGAGGTCGTGTATTTCAATCTCATCCAGAATACTGGGGAATATTTTCTGAAATACAAGCATAAATGCCATAGCCGCGGACTTGAGTGACCTAGGACCAACTATAATCCTCACTGCTTAATAAGGTAGGCGTTTGTGTGTTGTGATCAGTATTTCTGTAACGAGACAGTGTAAACCACGTAATTTCTCCATCACCACGTTTCATTGCTTTAGTATCCAACCCTTGTCAAAAAGAAATTTAGAAAAGATTTCGATAAACAGATTCGGAGAAGCTAAATTTTTTCCTATTTCAACGGACAATATGTTTTCGAACTAATAATAAGAGTTCAGTTCGAACACAGCAATTATATGTCGACTAATAATGTCTAACAGCGTTTTACAAATAAAGTACAATGCTAGTGTATTTATTAAGATTATATTGTTTAAGGAAGATAATTTTGAGATGAAATGTTCATGGAGATATATTATCTAGGCACTGAATAGACTTGGGTTTTAGTGTGGCGTCAAGTCGCGGTTGATTATGACTACAGGAAGACTACGTGCCAGTCACCAGGTTAGATCCCTCCGTAGGCGAAATATCAAAAGGCGATTGAAAGTTGTACTAAGATTTATTTGTTGGCGATCTCGTGGTATCGAAACAATACTGAGATCGTACCAAAGTTTACAAGCAAGACTACTGAGCGTACACGAGTTCGTGCAATGTCACAGACAACAAAAGGATGTGTGTTTTTAGTGCACTCAAACAAACAGGTACAGTAAAACAATCACTGGTACAAATGGTCATAATAATAATTGTTTCCATTATACCAATCACGTTCTCTTCATAAAAGTAGGTAACTACAGAGTAATGGGATTATTTATTGGGCTCATAATTGTTATTCGTTACCAAGTCATGGCTAAAACAATTGAGTATGTCAGGAGCATGGACAAGTTTGAGGTAGAAGATCCACGGCTCCGCGCACCTAAAATGTAGCCGAAAAATAAGGAAAAGACTAGCAGCAGGGGGAACAAACAAGGGTTTGTAGGTATCGTTACCAAGTTCTGACTTGCTAATTTCAAATCGATTGGGCATTGGGTAGATTGTTATAAATGAATAATATATTCGTATTATCCTAATGAATAGAAAAATGGATTTTCTGACGCTACGTGACTCAGTATAAGCGACTTCCCTGAACAAGTGACTTACACTGGATCAGGAAATGTAATTTTTTTATTCTTTAGGATACTACAAATACACTATTAATTTAAAACAAGGGTTTGTATAATCAGTAGATATAGCTCGTACTAGTTCTTGTCACTAAAACTGTGCGTAGCTAAGGAACAATTATTATTACTTGTTCCCACAAATAACAATGTGTTTTAAAGTATGACAAAGTGAAGTGTGTCCTAATGTGAGAGGGCAAGCTAAAGCAAAGTATCGAAAAGATGTTCGATGAATTTGGGGGCGTAATAAATGAAGGCATATTAGTTCGAAATGCTTTATCATTCTATTACCCTTTGTAAAAGCCCGTAGTGGCCTATTATGGGTTACCTCGAGAGGATAGCGAAGCAAATATAAGATCGAAAATATGATTCCTAGAAGCAAAAATCTATGGAAAACGACCTCAGTATCACTGAAATGTCTTCCTATCTTCACTCATGAACAGCCTGAGACAAGCAAATCGTTCAGCTCTACAAACACGGGTGGACTGAAATGGTAGTCCTCACGACCGTTGTTTGCTGATTAGTAGCTTCAACCTCCCTTTTTATGATGTTAGGCTCTTTTGAGGTGAATGTTGGATTGAATAATATGTTTTACTCGACGTTCCACGTTTCCTATATCATATCGCTTTTTAACGCAAAAGGAGTGAATATTTTTTAAAAGATCTGTGTATTTTATTGTCCGAAAAATTTGGAAGTTAACTTATCCGTAAACAGCGAAAGTTGAGGGATACGTTATGCTTGTATACTGTAAAAATTAGGCCTAAGGACTAGCTGATCATATAATGTGACATTGATAACGCTATCACATCGTCTAGGTCACAACAAATTACATTTACCTTCATTAAACTTCATTTCCCAGATGTGGTGTTAGTTCTTCATCTAATTGATGTCAACTTTAGACTCTTACGTGAAATTAATCGCATTATTAGAAGGAGGGAATACGGCCTTGGGGTCATTGGCGTAAACGAAGGGTTTTATAGCATTTTCTACGGTCGGGCACATCGTTAAAAATTTTTAGGAAGTAATGGAATAAGTACCCCACCTTGATTGATTCTGATGGTAACAGATATAGATTCATTAATAGGTGAGCTAACTTTTGCCACTTCGGTTTATCTACTTAAGAGAGAATCAAGCTAATATATCATCGACATTTTTCTACCATAATATTTCAGTTTTATTTTCCGCAGTCCATGGGGGACAGTGTCAGATGTCGAATTAACATTATTTATCCCCCTTTCTGCACCGTCAAACTTTCCTGAACAGAATTAACGTTTGAGCATACCCACATCTGTGTTTTGTCTTTAGGTTAAGTTTCTTCGCTACAGAGAAGTGTGACTGCATCTTTGGCTATTCGGCAATCTCACATGTTAGTATGTTATCGAATTATAAAAGATCCGATCGTTTTCCTCCTCTTTCCCTAGTGTTAGACCAAAAGCCAGTGTCCAGTTTCCTCTTGTACGTTCAACATGACTTGCCATCAGCGTTTCTTCATGGATTGGGGTCAGCAGCCTACTGTCTCGAAAAACTGGTAGGCTGAAGCTTGACGTTGTGCACAAAAGTGACGACCTCTTGAGTGACATGAGCAGTAAGATATATCTGTAAATGAAGATGGATGTTACAGCCATTGTTGTCTGTCTGGACGAGTGAAGTTTTCGTTGCTTTCGCGTTAAGATGTTGGTTTTTTATTGATGCTTACATAGTCAGTGTGGAAGGATAAGGAAGCATCACAGAAGTTTGTAGGACCAGTTAAATATTATCTCGCACTATTCAAACAAAGCCAAATAGTTTTCTGCATTGGGTAGCTTATCACTGAACAGTCAAACGTTTATCGAATATCTCCAGCATCATGGATAAACAATTCAGGTTGGCCAGTTACACAGCGTAGACTGCCTCATGAGACGGTGACCATACTATGCAGCCTCCCTTAACTTTTTCCATAATGCAGTAATTTGTTAGAATTTCACCTTTTCTTTATAGTTGCCATATTAGTTGCACGAACTGGATACCACGACGGCATGATTACAGACAATCAGGCATGACTCCTACCCGATTCTCATCCAATTCAAGCAGCCCCAACACCAACTAATCACCAAAACTGGAGTAGCCATTCCATGAATCATTTTTCTTTCATTTGAGTTCTTTGTTCAGCTGCTTTTTGATTGAACTTGTTGGATGTGATAACAAACTATTGTGTGTTGACGCTAATATGCGATTTGTAATTGACTGATCAGGTTGTGTCACAAATTTTGTAAGCCTTATATTCAATCCTTTTCTCCAGTATTGTTGATCATGTTGATCGGAAGGCTATGCCTGACAATGCTGTAGTAATATCCCCCAGTATTTCCGTACCAAGAGCTGGGGCCTTTATTTTTCAGGAGCGTTGCAAATATATTTCCATCTGCTTTTCCTTGCACTGGGACCAAGATAAGGAATTTCTTGTGGCGGAGAGATATGATATAACTTTTACAAACCACGTTTCAAGGATGCACTGAAAACATAACAATTCATGACATTTGAGACTGCTGACATTATTGAAATCAACTGTTTTTGGAGTGTTTATTTTATCACTCTTTTTATGTTCAGCCAGAGGGTAACTTACTCTTTAGGGCTCTCGGTGTTCATGAAACTAAGTATAAGTAAACGGAATCAAAATAGCTGCCTGAATTTTATAAACAATAGAAACTCACAATACTTTGGCCAGTGTGGGCTTCAAAGCCTGATTTTTTAAGCATGACAAAGGAGTTCTGATCATTTATTTTACCTTGTCAGATGTTGTTTTATCGTGATAAGGTTATACAGAAACTCATATTTGTTCTCCATACACTTTACAATATAAGCATTTTATTTTGCTTTCTTATTTGCTTTCTAACTTTAGCTTACCGTTGGGTTTTTTATAAGCCGACCAGTCAGTCACAACATTCCGAAGACTATATATACTTGCGTGCGCGCTCGCAAAAGGCTATTTTGTTAATTTCACTTAAACAAAAGGAAGTCCTTGTGCTTTCGTCACTTGACAAGAGGAGAATGACATAGAAACATAAGTTGAAGGCAGGTATCATTAAATAAACTTCTCCATCTGTCTATATTGGTGAAGTTGTGTTTACTAGATAATAAAAACTTGTTCGAATTCAAACGTTACAAAATTATGACCATTTCTACAGTGTTTTCCGTATGAAGTCCATAGCACTGTAGGTTGATTGATGATGCGTTGTATGACACAAAGGATTGATAGGATAGATTATAAACTTACAGTGCTTGGCTGGTGCCGAAAATGCAAATTCAGGCCGGAAAATATAAAGGATCATTTGTGCAGTGACACAGATTTCCATTACCAAATTGTAGGAAACCATAACTGACAGGAGTTAACTATTATTTGGTTACTATTGAAAGACAATTTACATCTACTAATGAGAATTGAATAAACTGCTCAGGAGAGCTTCTCGCAAGAAATGAGGACGATTGAATTAACAAGAGTTGAATAAACTCATCAGCAAAACGTTTTTTATCTGGGATTTCATTAGTCTCAGAACTTAAGTTGAAGATTTTTTGATCCATTATTTTCTCCACCAGTTGTGTCATCTACTGAACACTTCTTGTAAGTTACGATAAAGATCTCAGTGAGTCCTCTGTCAGGCAAAATATTATTGTCGTCAAGTTATATAGCTCATCCAAGCAAATATCCCAGTGTTCAACACATAATTGTATATGAAATCATTTGACTGGACTGTTAAATTGCAGACTAGTGACACTGCCTGATCCTCATCCTTATCAAATTTTAAGGTACTCTGAAATATGTGAACAAATTTTTGTTACTTAGGTGGTGGGTTGGTCAAAGCATTAGTGGTTCTCATTTTACAAACTTTTGAACATCAGAGCATTAACATGGTGCTTACATCTGTGAACAACTCGAAGAACATCGAGTATGAATCTGTCAAGGCACTTGATATTATTTTCGATATCGTTTTGATTTTCCGACATTTACGATAAGGAAAACTGAGAAAGCAAACAAATAGCCGTAGAACACTAAAAACTGGATAAAAAACTTACAAGATGTCTTGCAATGTGTAGATGTTTAAGGGCTCTGAATACACTAAATTATGACTGAAAAGCGTCGGTTAAAGATGATTTTCATACACCATCGAAGTTTCATTGTGGATTGCATCTTATTCATAAAGACTGTGTCGTTTGTTTGTTTGGTGAGAACGTCTACAGAGATGACAGTTTCTTCTAAGTAAGTGCATTTTAACCGACCGATACCGTCCAGTTCTTTTGAATGGCACAGTTATTATGTTCGTGATGGAAAACCTTGTATGCACCTTTGCATGGAGCATGTTGGGTCACGACGTACGAAAACACATGTATCAAGCCTTAAGGCGGGTTGAGCAAGAACACCAGTTTATTGTGGTCAAGCGGGACCAAAATTAACCGAACGCATAGCGTTTGTATTTATGTTCGTGTAACAGTTGAGATCCATACTCATTGAAGAAGATAACATATCCATGAATTCTCCTAGAAGTCGAAGTGTCGTTTCACAAGCGAGCTGTGCTGCAATATATCCAATGTCAGCATTGAAGATACCAAGTAACACGAGTGGAAAAGCGTCGGTTCACTGTGAAAAATTTGCAGCTGAAGGTGAAGCTTTAACCTGTCGGTAGAATCGCTCTGCCACCCAATTAGATCAAGGGTGGTAGGCGGTCGCCCTGGATCGTATGATTCCAGGCAGTGTAGTAAGACACTGGAAAAGTTCGAGCCTGAAATGGCGTTCATGGTCTGCAGTGGTAGTTGAAGAGCAAACGAAATTGCTACCCACCGTTCGACGAACACGCGGGCCACTGGTTGAGTAGTAGCACTAATTTTCGCACTATCACGAACTTCGTCTGTTAAGGGTCCCATGGGAGACACTAAATTAGTCATAAACCGTCCGTGAAATCTTACCAGTCCAAATCGAAACATGGTTATACGCTCATTCAACCACTCGTTCAACCGACAACTCATAAAATGCGATTAATCACATGTATACTTATTATGTACTAATATTGAGTTTCATGTTAACTAATATGACTAGGATTGACATTTAAATTTTCAGAATCTTTCGTTCATAATGTTAGAGGTTAATGTCTTGTATTAAAGTCTATAGTTTGGTAAATTTGAAATATATAACTTAACTGAATATTAAGAAGCAACAACAGTTTCGGGTACTGAACTGCTCATGCAAACTGGTAGCGGTATGAATAGTCCATGACAATGTTCACTGTGCAGTTTTAGATTTTGGAACAATTTATTGTATTCAGTGTACACAGTATTTGAAACAGTGGCATTTGAAATTTCAAGATAAACAACAGAAAACTACTTTTTTCGTGATGATTTTGTTATGTAGATGATTCTTGTAGTTGGCTCATTTGTTCTTCGACTCGCCGGTGTTGTAATTGACGTTTTATTTTCGATTTTCACTATTGTTTTACTACAAAATCCTTCACATATTTCTTTTGTACGAAATCTGTTTTCGTTTCCACCACATCCGCTAAAAATGAATGGTAGACATTTGTTTGCATCTGGACTGTAATAGAAGCGTGGCTTTTTTTGGAGACAGTATCCTTTCTTCATTGGCAGAGCGCAAATTTCCGATGGAGTGACTGAAATGAGAGACAAATACGACATCATAGACATAATTACTCTTAAGTGACAACTTGCATATAATGTTACCTGATAATACTGTGCAAGTATATCGTTAAAAGTTAGAGTCTAAATGAAATGCCTTCAAATGTATCTTGTTTATTCTACTGTACAATGAGATTCAAGTGTTTTGTTGTCATAAACTTACCTTCAAGCATATGAAATGTTGGACTAGTTTCAAGATTTTCGTTTTTATAAATATATTTGACATTGAAGTTCTCATAAACTTATTTGACAGACATAATCCGGTACACATTTCTACTTCTTATGTCCATTAGATATTTTGCATCGAAGTGATATTACATACAACTCATTCGCTCATTTTAGATGCAAATAAGTTTGAAACCGAATATTCGGCGATTACGGTACCTTATTAATATACCATATTCACAAATAATTGATTACAATTTAAAATCAATTTCTTATATTTTCACGGTACCACTTACTTACTTGCTTACGCCTGTTACTCCTCGTGAAGGAGCATAGGCTGCTCACCAGCATTCTCCATCCAACCCTGTCCTGGGCAATTCTTTCCAGCTTCTTCCAGTTGTAATTCATCCTTTTCATATCTGCTTCTATTATCCAACGTAATGTGTTCTTTGGCCTTCCTCTTTTCCGCTTCCCTTCAGGATCCCAAGTTAGGGCTTGCCTCGTGATGCAGTTTGACGATTTGCGTAATGTATGTCCTATCCATTTCCATCGTCTTTTCCTAATTTCTTCTTCATCTGGAAGTTGGTTTGTTCTCTCCCACAGAAGGCTGTTGCTGATGGTATCCGGTCAATGGATGTTGAGTATCTTGCGAAGACAGCTATTTATAAATACTTGTACCTTCTTGATGATGGTTGGTGAAGTTCTCCAAGTTTCAGCTCCATACAGTAGAACTGCCTTGACGTTCGTATTGAAGATTCTCACTTTGATATTGGCTTAAACTCAGTTGTTTTAAGTTCCATATGTTCTTCAATTGAAGGAATGTGGTCCTTGCTTCGCCAATCCTCTTCTTTACGTCTGCATCGGAACCTCCTTGTTCATCGATGATGCTTCCCAGGTGTGTGAAGGATTCTACATCTTCCAGAGTTTCGCCGTAAAGAGTGGTTGGATTGTTGTTCTCCGCTTTGAATTTGAGTACCTTGGTTTTCCCTTTGTGTAAACTGAGGCCTACTGATGCTGGGACTGCTGCTAAACTGGCTGTCTTTATCTGCATTTGTTCGTGTGTATGCGATAGGAGGGCTAAGTCATCTGCGAAGTCCGAATCATCTAATTGATTCTGAGATGTCCGTCGTATTCTAAATTCTTCAATTGAAAGAATGCGGTCCTTGCTTCGCCAATCCTCTTCTTTACGTGGATTTGTGGAAATAGTTGAACTTTCATGGTTAAGATCATGAGTTGGACATAGCCAGACGATTGTTGAAAAGCAGGGAGCAATTGACTGCCGTTTCACCATAGTGTGGAACTCAAGAATAGTGCGCATCCGTAGCTCAGCACGCAACAATGGAGCCCGGGACTTTCGGTTTCGCACGCAGGTGTCTTATCTCAAGACCACTGAACCAGCATCCAGAGGTTTCAATGTCTAACTTCAGTCGATTGACAATAGCGCGTAATTCCTGTCCGTTGCTCGCGACGCACAACTGTCACAAGTAGCAGATGAGTGATGGAACTAACCATAAAGAAAACATTAGGCACAATGACTATTTCTGATTAAAAGGCTGTGGGTGGATGATGAACAATTATGCCACTAGAATATAGTTGTTTTTAAGTTAACAAGATTATAATTGTCATAAGAATTAACTACCCTTCTCATTAACAATGACATTGAACTCATTTATCATCGTGTCTGGAAACAATCTTCATAATTATGCACATTCTTCGCCTAATGAGGGTCATTCCTGCCAGACAAAAGACGTAAGATATTTATCACAATATTTTGATTGTATTTCATTGTGAAAGCGAATTCAACCCAAACTATGTTCACAGAAATGCAATCAAAATAGCCTGTTACAATGTAGTCATATAAGCCTCAGTGAGACGCCCTATGTGATGTGCTCTGAGAAGACAAGACTCTTTGTTATTGCGGTAAGATATAGCGTTAGATTAAATGTTTGTGCAGTCATAGTTTAGAGTGATGCTATGGACGTCTCAATTAAGTGCACAAGATAACCAAATATCAATATGTATGAGACGTTTATACATGGTGAAGATTAAACGAGTCTGAGAAGTTAATTTAAATATAACACAAGTTATTGTCCTAATTGCAAACTTCCGAACCTTGAGAATAATGTTTGTCTAGGAAGAAAGTAATACCTGGTAAGAGCGTTCAACCTTGATAATACGAGTGTAATGAATATCGACCTCTGATTCAAACTATTCATTTTGTCAGTTTTTAGTGCATTCAGTTGAATACATGTAAAAATATGTGATTAGTATCAGAGTTAAACTTGATATTAGTATTAGCATTTGTGAAATAGTAATCTAGAATGATTCTATAAAAGTCACAATTAATTGCAAAGCATAATCAAATGTAAATTTCTATGTGTTATATCTATGTGGTGAAGATAAAATGAATCTGAGAAGTTAATTTGTTTAAGTGTTACATAGGATTATTTATTTTTTTGTTTGTTTTTAGTTATAAACCTTGGATGTTTGGTGATAAAAAGTGTCTATAAGGACATGAAGAGATGCAAAGAAGATCTTACGTGTCGAGCGACGAATAATGATATTAATGACAGTAATAATTATAAATAGGAACATAAGCAGACTTCATATATTAAGATGAATAGAAAGAAAAAACGAAATAGACGTGAAAAGTTTCAAAAATTACACTGTTTTTCAGTCAATAAGATAGACGATAGAGATTTTTTGTATAAATCATGACTAAACACATTGAT